AAAGGTCATCTCGTTCCATCCCCTTCCACGGGCAGGGACACCTTCCAGATTGCTGCAAGCCCTGTTCAACCTGGCCTTGGACACTTCCAGGGATGGAGCAGATTTTGGCAGTTCACTCCGAATTCCCTCAATTTCCCCCTGGAATTGTTGAACACCAGTAAAGAGAACCCAAAACTTCCAGTATCACCCAGGTGGCACAACATCCTCGAGTGAAATTCCTGCCTCCTGAACACGAACCATATGAGTTGAAAGATGAAATGTTCTGACAGATTCCTAAACACTACTGTTTTTTAAACTAAATGTGCCTTGGGGAAGGTGATGGAAGGTTCCAAACTTCTGCCAGTTCTGTCCAAAGAGAAATATTCAGCCTGGGACAGTAATTTGTTCTCACGGCATCTTAATGCACAAATCCCTCACCACCACAACTCACTGCCCTGCTCAAGCAGGACAATATTGCTAAAAGACACAGAAAACTGGTAAAGCCCAGAGAGTGACTCTAATTTTCAGAATCAAATGGAAGAACCTGACAAGTCCTGAGTACTTCCAAGCTGGCTGTCAGAGCATCTTGTCCTGGATCTCAATTTCCTTGTCCACTTTCTCCCTGAGTTATCCCTCTGTCAGCTCAACCTCTCCAGGGAATGAAGTGTGTTGGGGGGCATTGCTTGTTCATGTAAAGCAGATGATAAATATTTATTCACAGAAAATATGGTTTAACTTTTTTTCTTTTTTAAGCAAACATTAACTGTGCTTGATTTAAGTCAAGAAGTCTTTTCGTTTTCTTGCACAGGCACTTCTTTAGAGGCTCCCTCAGTGGTTGGATGTTGCAATGTTTATTGCAGAGGTAGATATCTCCAAACAGGTCATGGCCAGCTGGAAGATTCCTTGGCTGCTGGAGTTTGAGCTGTTCATCTGCCTCTGTTTTTTTAGATCCCTCTCTCAGGATTACCTTGGTCTTGGTTTGCTCAGCAGACCTTTATTTCCACATTGCTACTGTCACCTTGAAGAAGGGTAGTCATCTAGCAGGCAGTGATATCAGAAGATTTAGTGTTAAAAAGTACCATTTAAGTAAAAATACAATAAAGATTTCTTTTGCTTTCATTTCACAGTGAATGTGAGTAACTTGGAGATCTCAATTTTCAAACACATTTCAGTTTCTCTTCTGTAGAAATGGGAATTACGGTACTTTCCCATTTCCTAAGCTGAGGTTAAATTCATCAATATTTACAAAACTTAAGATTCTCAGCTGGAAAGAGACACAGAATTAAAAGTGTATAAACAAACATGAAAAAAAAAAAAAGCCTTTCAATAACAAGTAGAGTTTGCAAGTTGCTTTCAATTTGTCTTCCCAGCACTGTGAAATACCTTGTGTGTGACAGAGACTCTCCCTGTATTGTCTGCTCATTCTCCTGGGGCATTTCTACATTTTGTAGTATTTTAGAAAACACAAGAGACTTCAAAAACATTTTAGGGCCAAATCAGCAAAAAGGTTTTTCCAACAAGGAGAAGAGTAGAGGTCAGGAGACAGGAATGGTGTAATATGTCACAAAGCAAACCTCCTGGAATGACAGGTATTAAGAATGAAAATCCACCACCAATCTAAAGTTCTTTCCCACTGAGGAGTTATTTTGGTGCTATTTAGTGTATTTGAAGTGTGCTACAGGAAAAGCTGTTCATTCCCTTTGCACTTTTGATCTGCTCACTGGAAGCTCAGATGTTGTGTTTCGATGAGCTTCCCAAGCACATCTCATTCTCTTAAACCCTGGTGGGGAGATCTTGCCTTGATGGGATTTCCAAGCTTTATTCAACGACTATGTTACTATTTCCCCCCAAAAAAGTAAGAGCAGCAATTACTTCTGCTTATGAAGCAGCTCTAAAACTTGGATTTTAGGTACTGATTAAAGAGTTTAGTGGTACCTTTCTGTACCTGCACAACAGGGCCCAATACATCTTCTCCTGAAGCATCACACTGGCAGATGGTTTGTCAAGGAATATTCTCTCCTGACATCTGAGAGTGCAGAAATCAAAAGACATTTTTATCTGTAGCAAAAGAGAAGTGTAGAAGAATATGTATCATAGGTTATTTACTTTTGATCTTCAAATATTTCCTGGTCTTTGACCTAAAAATATTTCTCATCAAAGTGTAGAAGTGAAAGGGGTTTTCACTCACAGTTGCCATTAGCTGTTATATTAGAAAATATTGGGAATTCTTGTGGATAGACATCTGAGGGACAATGGAGCCATATTCACTGTTAAGTGAAGATGTGCCCCTAAAAATTCAGCTCAAGAGTGCTGCAAACTCTTGCTTTACTCTTAAAACAACTCTTGATATATTCTAAAGGTCACAAATTAAAATTAAAGCCTTGTTTTTGACATCCTTTTGAGAAGGGGGAGGAAGAATTGAAGGCTCAAAATGCCCTTGGAACTGCACTTTAGCAGAATTTGAGGCAATCATTAGCTCTCCCAGCTCCAGGCCCAGCAGAGCTACAAACACACCAGCTTCCCTGCCAGGGAGTTACATCACGACCACAGGAGTTAAATAAAACCTTTTCCATTCTGTAATTTAATAAAAGCTTAATAGAGAAGATTTCGTATTAACAGGGTGGTTTCCTCCCCGTAGCTGTGAAGAACATGGAAAAATTGACCTGTGCCCAGTTTAGTCTTGACTTGCCTGTTCCAGACTCTTCTGAAGAGATTGTTTCACAGGCACTAATCTGTGACCCTTCAAATGAGTTCATTTTGACTCTTTGTATAGATAGAGAGCACAAATTGTCCCTTCTTGTTTCTCAGAACTTATCACTGAATGGAGCCTGAACTGTGTTCAGTCTCTGAAGACAACAGGATGTGTTTCAGTAGGACTGGTTCAAAGAAAACAAATCACAAAAACATCAACCTGTGGTGTTTCCCTAAGAAAAGAAATTACAAACCTTTGAACCAGCTTTAATTTTAAAGCCTGCCTGGAAAGTGCTCTGATCTTGTGGCCGTAGTATCTCACAGATGAAAATCACTGAAATAGAAGGGCAAGATTGGGAAGGATCTGCAAAACTCCCAGGAAATGTCTGCAGTGAGATGTGATGCTTTTGTACATTTTCTCTGCATTGATCACTGCTACCTTGGGGATTTTATTGTTATTGACTGGACTTTGAGACCTGTGCCTTTATGGGTCTCAGGTTCTGTGTCAAACCCACCTTCTGATGATCCTCTGCCTGTGCCTTGTCCAAGACACCCAAGTATCTGCACACTCTGTATCTTACTGTCACGCACTTGAATAAAGGGAATTAAGAGCTGACTCACAAAATGCACCTTGGGAAAGAACATAAAAAATAGCGTGGGGTGGGGGAAAATCAAATCCTCTTTGTAGCAAACCTGTCTTTCCTGGAAATCCTCTGGTTTACGGGTAGCTTTTTGTCTTGCAGCAAGTTCCACAGCCTGTCTGAGTTCTCTTGCACAGAGAGGACACAGATAGTTCCAAGGTGACCTGGGCAGCTTTGCCTGTGCTTGCACCTCTCCTGCCTTTGCTTAGCCTGAAATGCTTTGTCTCTGAGCATTATTGCACAGTTTCTGATTAAAGGACTATGGCAATAACTGATTTTTGTCAGAATTTAATATCTAGCAACCCCCACAGTGAAGGGAATTTTGCCTTCTCTGATGATGCACTTTCCATAAATCACGTGCCCTTTTCATAAACCCATGGTTAGTCAGCCCAGGAGGGTAAGAGCCACACCACAACTCGGTATTCCTCAGCTCCCAGACACTTTTTATTCCGTCCTATTAACGCGCAAATACTGAGGGAAGACGGAACTATTTTGGCACCTGTGCACTGCAGGATGAATATCACAGAGCCCCCCGCGCTCGTACGGGTGAGCTCTGGCCGTAGGAAGCCGAATTAAACAAAAATAAATAAGTAAACAAATAAATAAATAGAGAGGCGAGGGGGAGCAGCAGCTTTCCGAGACCGTTCGCACGGACGCCGGGCAGTTTGGGGAGGGAGCGGTGTCGCTGCCTGCGGGGACCGCGGGGCTGGAGCCGGGCATCCCCCGGCAGCTCAAAATCAAACCTCGCTTTTATCAGCAGCAAAAGAGAGGCGTAGTAGAACACACGTATCATAAGTTATTTACTTTAGGTCTCCAAATATTTCCTGGTTTTTGACCTAAAATATAGTTTGGGGGGCCGGAGCATCCCCCGGGAGCTCGGGGAACCACAGAAGCGCGTCCCCGGGAATTCAGCAGGGACTGGGACCGCACATCCCCCGCAAGTCCGGCGGGTCGGGAGCCGCGCATCCCTCGGGAGTTCGGAGGATTGAGGCCGCGCATCCCCCCGGAGTTCAGCGGGGACCGGGATCGCGCATCCCCGCAGCCCGGCGGGTCGGGAGCGGGCGGAGGCGCGGCGGGCGCTGGCTCGGTTCCCTCCTGCCTCGCCTGAACCCTTTGATGACCCGCCTGCCCCGCGGGCTCCGCGGGCCGGGCCGGGGCAGCCGCCCCACCCCACCCCACCCAGGGCTGCCATTGGCCCCGATGAAAGTCCAGCACCTCCGGCTGCTATAAATGTCCCTATAGCGGGCGGCGCTGGCACCGCGCTGTCACCATGGGCGGCTGCGGCATCACCCTCCTCCTCCTCCGCCGCCTCCCCGCCCGCACCTGCGGCAGCGCAGCCCCCGCGTCCTCCCTGAGCGCCCTGCGGCCCGCGGAGACCCTGCCCGGGCCCCCCAGCTGGCCCCTCATGGGCAGCCTGCCCGACGTGCTCTGGAAAGGGGGGCTCAAGAGGCAACACGAGACGCTGGTGAGGCGGCAGAGCCCTGGGGATGGGATGGGGATAGGGACGGGAACGGGGTCGGGGATGGGAATGGGGATGGGGAGAGGGATAAGGATGGGAACGGGGATAAGGATGGGGACAGGAATGGGAACAGGAACGGGGACGGGGATGGGGATGTTAGGGATGATGGGGATGATGAGGATGATGGGGATGAAGGTGCTGAGGCGAAGCGTCTCACCGCCGGGGTCTCCCCTGCGCCCCCAGGCCGAGTACCACCGGAGGTTCGGGAAGATTTTCCGCATGAAGCTGGGGGCTTTCGACTCGGTGCACATCGCCGCGCCCTGCCTCCTGGAAGCCCTGTACCGCCGGGAGAGCGCCTGTCCCCAGCGCCTCGAGATCAAGCCCTGGAAAGCCTATCGCGACTATCGCGACGAGGGCTACGGGCTGCTCATCCTGTAAGTGCCACCCGCAGCATCCCGGGGAGGTGCCGGGAGGGCCGGTTGGTCCCTGCGGTGCGGGGGAGCCCATGCGGGATAGGACGGGTCCCAGGTGCCCGGGGGATGCTCCAGCCCACCCTCCGCTCCCCGGGCCGCTCCCGGGGCTCATCCCCCTCCCCAGCGAGCGCAAGGCGGTGTCGGTGCGATGAAGCATCAGCGGTGTCGTGGTGCACATGCGGCGGGTTTGGGGTTTTCTTCTTCTTTCCTTCTTCTTTAAGTCTCTCGCTTCCCAACCTCGCTGTCTTTGTTTCAATCTAGGGAAGGAAAGGACTGGCAGAGGGTAAGAAGTGCCTTTCAAAAGAAATTAATGAAGCCCAGGGAAGTTGTGAAGCTGGATACGACCATCAGTGAGGTACTGGGCTTTGAGAAATCCTTCCTTTATCCACTGCAAACCTGGGGGATAAATCCAGTTTATCTGGATAGCTGCTGATTTGCTCTACAGTGATAAAACCACGAGTTCATGCTCAGATCGTTCAGGGGATAACAAGTACAAACTCATTGCCAGGGTCTGACCAAAAGTGAGACCACAGAGAAACCTGTAGTTGAGACTATCTGTCTGCACAGAACAATGAGATCATTCCACAGTGACACAGACTCCTGCAAGCAGTTTTTACCTACTTCTCTTGCATTCAGTAGTTTTTGCCTTTACTCCTTCATTCTTATGTCTCCACCCCCATCAGTGAACACCTCCCTCCCTAACCTCTGTGTGTTCCTCACCTAGTTTGAGGAGCATCTGTGATAAACAGCTTAATTCTCTTCATTGTGAAACTCCAGTGTTGCCCCAGAGTGAAGTGTTTCATCCCTGTGGAGGAAAGCTCAGCTTATGGAGGTACAAGCAATGATAGCACAAGAGTCTGTAAAATCCAAACATACATTCACACAGGGGGAAGTTGAATCTTGTTCAAAGAACAGGAAACAGAAGGATTCCTCTCTTAGGCAAGATTGCTATCTATTTAAAAGACAGTTGAAATGCTGAATTGCACAGGATTTCTATTAGCTGATGTCATTTTATCCCTTATTTTCTTTCTCTTCTTTCCACTGTTCAGGTCCTGGAGGATTTCATGCGTAGAATAGATGAAATATGTAACCACAATGGGCAGATGGAAGATGTATATTCAGAATTCAACAAATGGTCCTTCGAAAGTAAGTCATTTTTTGTCTGAGTATGTGCACCTGCCATGGCATTTCAGTTCCAGTGTGATCAGGGATGAATGTATTGGCTGATTATTTCCAAACTGTTGGCTACAATATCCTGGAAACTAAGTTGCAGAACATCCAGGGAACTATCACAGGCAAAATTCATCAGCAGCTACACAGATTCCTCTGTTTAGTTACCTGTATGACTTACTAAAAATATTCAAACATTGTAATGGTTTATAAATCCAAAACCTGAAGGAATCATGGTGCATTTATCTAGACTGGGATCAGATAGCACATGACTTTTTTTTGTCCATCTGATATTTGTTAATTACCAGCAGCACAAGATCAATGAAATGATCCCATAACAGTGAAGAAGTGCTCATTGCAGACAAAGCTTGGAAAATCCCATTTAAGATGTTTACATCGGGATTCAGAAGCACTGGAATAAGTTACCAAGTCAGGAGCCTCCATCTTTAGAAAGCTTTATATGGAATCTGCCAGGAATGACCTAGGGTAGAAGAAACAGCCTCAGTGGTTCCCAAAAGGAGGGATGTTGGCTGTGGTGTGTTACTGAACAAGCTCTGCCAGACCCATCTGCTCTTGGCTGGCTCAGCTCAGCAGCCTGTGGACTGAGGCCCTGAAAGTGGGGGTTTTTTTCCATGTCAGTGGTGAAGGCTGATTTTGGAAAAGGACAAATAGGAAGTGAGAGCTTTAAAAAAAGAAGAAAAGGCAAGTGGAAAGGGGTGGAAACTGGTAGAGTGTGGGACACTGTCAGTGTTTGCAAGTGGTTTCTGGCTGTGGGAAGGGCTAGGAAATGCTGGAGGAGATGGCCTAGGAAGTGCTGGAGGAGATGGCCTCTTCAGGCCCAGTTTTCCTGCCACTCAGTTCTCTTCAGTAGCATTGCCAAATATCTTATTTACCAAATAATACCAGCCCTGCTTGGCATAAGGCTCTGCTGCTCATGAGGGGATCAGTGGTGCTGCTGTAAGGGCCCCTTAGCTGGATACTCTACTTGAGTCTGAGAGAAAGAGGCAGAAGGTGTTTAGAAAGTGCTGCTCTCAGAGGTTGTATCATGGAACATTTTCCAGAAGGATAATCCAAGCCATTCCTTGACAAATGACAACCAACACACACACTTTTGCTTACATCATTTAATTACAATACTGCTTAACAACAGGTATCTGTCTGGTGCTGTATGGAAAGAGGTTTGGCCTCCTGCAGCAGGATGTGGAAGAAGAAAGTTTGAACTTCATCAAGGCAGTAAAAACGGTATGGAAGAGTCTTTCCTGGGGCTGTAGTGATTTTCTACCCCTCCTGCTAATGAGAGGCAGCAGTTTAAATGAGTCACCCGAAAAACAGCACCTCGAGCTTTTGTGCTACCTGTGCAATGGCAGCTTTGCACATCCAAAGTGGCACTTACAGTGCAAAGCTAATCCTGAACATCTGAACTGTCTCATTTATGTGATGCCTAAACCTGACAGGGAAAACTGCTCTATGGACATCAGGGTAATCCTGGAAATGGAGTTGGCAGGGTGGTTGGATAACTCTGCTCTACCTCTGAGACACCTGTTGTGCAACGCTGCTCTTTGCTGGGTGGGACTGCTGGGGTTATGTGGGATTATGCAAAAATGCTGGATTTGGAGGTTACTCATTCCTGCAGGCAAACCTGCTGTGCATTTTGCTGCAACTTGGACTCTGGTGATACAAACCTGCCTAATTTTAGTCATCCAAAAGACAGGCATCTAGCCCAGCCTAATTTTTTAGCTCCATCTGTTGTCAAGGGGGAGAGAGGCACTGCCAAAAATTAGCTTGTCCCATTCTAAGCAGGTGCCTAAAGTAGGGAAGATGCACTGCCCACTGGAGAAGCCTGATGTCCTCCTCCTGGCTGTCCCTAATTTTTAGCTGGATAAGTAGGTTGAGACTCATCCTTTCTCTCCAGGATGGAAAATCTGCCAGAATCTTGCCTTCCTGAAAACTGCCTCCTACTTTACAGCCTCATTTTGTTCAGAGATTGCAAATAAGTATAGATTAAAGACAGATTTCCCAAACTCTTTCTCCACCACAGATGATGGCCACTTTTGGGATGATGATGGTGACCCCTGTGGAACTTCACAAGGGGCTGAACACAAAAGTCTGGCAAGCTCATACTAAAGCATGGGATGATATATTTAAAACAGGTTATTGTTTTAAACATAATTTCTCTTCTTTTCCTTTATCTCCGTTTCCTACTTGGTGGAATTAACTCTCTTCATCCTTGCTATTGTTCTATGCTGCCATTAATCACTTCAACGTGGATTGGAACAGCTTTGCTACACTAAACACAGACTAATTCCAACATGGGAGCAGGTTTTTTACGAGTAACACTCAGGTCTGGTTGTGGGACAATACCTAATTCCCAGGGAAGCCCCAGGATTTTGGGAGCCAGCAGTTAATTCCACTTTAATCTGTCATAAAATAGCCAGAAAGTGTATAATCTCTTTAAAGGCAAGTATATGAGTGAGAAAAGGGACTTCCCTCAAAGGGACCTCAAAGGGAGTTGTTTTCCCAATAAACAAGAATTTTACACACAACAAAACCTGTCGGCTAAAAAAAAAAATAAAGAAATTACAGGTTTTTCTGAACAATCTGGAATATGGTTGTAAATCTTAGAAGTAATTTAAATTGTAAGGTACAGTTTGGCTTTTTGACAATGTTTTTTTTGACTATATAAGATGCATTGGCCTTCAAGGTTTAAAAAATTACTCTAACTCCAGATATGAAGTCAAGTTTGTATTTTTAATATTTTGCTAAACACTGACAAGTGTTACTAAAAATTGAGAAAGATTTTGGCACTTGGATGGTTGTATTTGAGTACTTGATACTTCAATACTTTTGGTCAAGCCAGCCCCATGTGCACTTCTTTTATTGCTTCTTAATTTATGGGGTTTAGGAAAGACACTTTAGAACAGTTTTGTTCAGAAAAAACAAAGTTTAACACCTTCACTTGACAGGAATAACTCCTTACTAGGAACTGTAGGGTGTTGGGCAAAATTTACTTCTCTGTATTTAAAAAAAAAAATCCCCAGCATGTGGAAATTTGGCATCTCTTTGTGCCTTCCCCTTGTAAATCAAAGGTTTACATTTCCCCCCAGGGAGTCTGAGTACTAAGTCTCTTTGATTTTTTTAACACCTTGATCCCCTTTGAAAACCCGAGGCAATAAATTTCACACACTTGTATTTCTGTTTGCTAAATATTTCGCTCAATGTCTCACTGATTTCCTTTCCTAATTTAAGAAAGCAGAATTCCTAAGAGTTTGCAGGAATTTCTTCTGTTCAAAAGTGATTTTTGCGACTGGGTTTTTTGTCTGAAGACTGAAAATACGATACTTTATTCAGTATAAATATACTCACTATTTATTCACTGCTTGCAAAAAGAGCCCAGCTTGGCACCTCCTTTCAAGATCCTGCATGTCAGACATGGCTTTGTTTTTATTTTTACAGTATTTTTACTGATTTTCCATTAATTACCTCCCTCTCCTCCCTCCTCAGCCAAACACTCCATTGACTGTCGGCTGGAAAAACACTCTGCAAACCCTCAGGAGGATTTTCTGTGTGACATCTACTCTGGAGGACAACTTTCCAAGAAGGAGCTGTACGCTGCCATCGCAGAGCTCCAGATTGCTGGGGTGGAGACGGTAAACCTGGCTTTGCAAGAGCTTCAAATCCTTCCACTCCCTGCTTGCCTTCGTAACCCAACCATCCTGACACCTGGAAGGGAGCTAATCCTGCTTTGCTGGCCCAAGTGTAAATGAATATTTATCTGAAATCATAGATTTGTTCTTCTGCTCATCATTCCTAGAGAACAATTGGGATGGCTCATAATCACTTAAGCTTTCAAAATACCATAAATCAGTGACCAGCCATAAATATTGCTTTGAACTTTTGGCAGCTTCTTCCTTCTGCCACCACAAATGGAGGTCTTACATTTCTTCTTGGTTTCTTTCAGACAGCCAATAGTTTACTGTGGGCTCTGTATAACATTTCACGCAATCCACATGTCCAGCAGAAGCTTTTCCAGGAAATAAAGAGTGTTTTGGCTGCTAATGAGACTCCAAGTGCTGAGAACTTGAAGAATATGCCTTACCTGAAAGCATGTCTGAAAGAGTCCATGAGGTAAAATTCCTAAATAAGAGCAAAACGATCACAAAGTTTTTTACCAGCTTGTGTGTACTAGAGGGGTAAGAATTTTCTTGTACATATAATTTTGTTCATCTGGTTGTTTAAGGTGAACTATGAGAGATACAGGAAGAAAAAATGCTGGAAATTTAACCCATGGTGTTTTTTTCACTGTAGATTAACCCCATCAGTGCCATTTACCACTCGCACCATCGACACGGAAATGGTTCTGGGAAATTATGTGCTGCCCAAAGGGGTAAGGCAATGAATTTAACTTACTAGGGTGTTGTGCCATTTATTAACTGTCTTATAAACCACAGAAGTTAGTCACAATTCAGTTTTAAATTGACTTTGCCAAAGGATGAGGTCCAGCATAAGGAATGAGGAATTCACACCAAAGATTCCCATAAACTAAACCCCAAACTTGCCTGCACTGCTGATGGATTCAGGCAGAAATATTGGTCAGAAAACATTTTGTTGTTCTGCTTCAAATATATTTTTTTTTTATTTTCTCATGATTTTTTTCAGGGGAAACCATGACTTTTTCTGTGTTCAGATTAATCCTCAGGGAACTGCATGGCATCTTCTGAGGAAACTGCCTCGCCTTTACTGTTGCATTGTTTTTTTCCATCAGCGAGCTGATGGCAGCTCTGGGCCAATTTGTAACGAGACTCTCTTTGTTTCTAGACTGTTCTGATGCTAAACAGCCATGCCCTGGGTTGCAATGAGGAGTACTTCAGGGACTGGACTCAGTTTAGACCAGAGCGCTGGTTCCAGAAGAACCTGATCCGTCCGTTCTCCCACGTTCCCTTTGGGATGGGGAAGAGGATGTGCATCGGGCGCCGTGTGGCAGAGCTGCAGCTCCACTTGGCCCTTTGCTGGGTAAACACTCCAAAAAAAAGGGCATTTTGAGCACAGTGGGCATTCAACTTCTAACAAAGCACACTGATGGAAATGTTTGTTTTTCAGCTCGTCCACAAATACCAAGTTGTGGCCACTGACCAGAGGCCGGTGGAGACTCTGCACTCGGGAATCCTCATTCCCAGCCGGGAGCTGCCCATCGCATTCCTCAGGAGATGAGGTGAGTGAACGGGGCTCTTGGAGCACAGCACACCTGGCTTTGAGCATCGTACAGAATTTCCAGAGAGCTGGGAGTGCAAGAAAACAGGTGTTTGTCTAATCTTCATCCTCCCAGAGTGAGATGGATGAAATACCATTAGTTTTCATTACTTTTAACAGAAAATATTCTGTGTACTAAGAAGACAAATTTCATACAACTTGCAGCTCTGAAGTCAGTTTTATAATCCAAGAACAAGTCTTCTTCTCATAATGCAGATCAGAAAGGACAAAATCAAAATGTATACGCTGTTGGAGAAAACAATAGCCATTATTTTGTTATAATATAACTTCTCCACTGCATTTCTACAAGAAATTTCCTGAAAAACAGCCTTTGATTTTTGAGCATCAATTTACAGATTAAATAGCCTTAGTGAAGGAACAGTGCTCTGCAGAGTTTAGATAACAAAACTTGATTTTAGGTATAAGGACAAAGAAAAATCTATTTGTAAATAGTTATGCAATGTTGCAACTTATTATACATTTTTGTTCAATAAAATTGAATGTAAGATTTTCTCTGCTCATATGAGCTTACACAAATGAGCTGATAAAATAGCTTATTTGTCTAACAATCTAAATTGAAAAACCAAGCTTTGACCTAGAATTAAATCCTCAAATTAGAAATCAAGTGACATTTAAGTACTGTGGAAGATATTTTTGTTCTGGCCAACACCACAGGAAGAAAATCACTCAGTATAATCTGAGTATCAACTCCTTTAACTGAAGGTTTCGCAGTGCTGTTTACTTTGAAATAATTCATCACAGTATAGATTTTTTTCTCTTCAGTAGAGCTTGCAGCAAAATGGATGACAACCCTGCTGCTGCCTCCTCTTAAAAAACAGGCATCAACTGGAGAAGTCAAAGCTGTGGAGGCTCCACCAGCCAGTGAAGAATTGCAACACCCGTCCCTTGAACAACTGCAGAGTCAGAAATAGCACCAAGAAAAGCTCCCAGACTGTTTTATTGGGAAAATGTGGTTAGTTAGTTCATCCAGTGTTAAAAGGAAAGAAAAACATCATGTGCATTCACATACCTGTGGAAATACAGTGATTTAGTGCAGCTGAGGGACTGCCCAGGACAACGAGCTGTGCAGTGTTCTGGACAGTTCTTGTCAGTGCACAGGGAAATTATTGCAGCCTCAGGCTCTTCCACAGAGCAGCCTGGAAAGAGCTGCCTCCCAGTTTGGGTTCAGTCCTGACTGCACTGGCCCTGTCAGCTCAGAGTGGAAGAGCTTGGGAAGGCAGTTTAAGGGAGAAGAAACTGGCTTAGTCCTTATCAATCACCAACACCACGGATTAAGCTGAGACATGAGATGGCAGTCAGGAATTAAGCTAAAATGAGGGCTTGAAAATCAGGATAATTAAAAAAGGATATTTCCCTGGTGTTATATAAGAATATAAGGACAAATGTACATAACACAATTTATTCCTCATGCCTGCAGCACAGTAATTTGATTTATACACAGTGCTGTGCCTGGTACAATCTCTGCTCTTGCCCAGGGAGCTTCATGCCTCTGATTCCTGCACAAACCATTTTATCCCACCTTTATTGTCAAACCTTAATGGCCTTTTATTGCATGAAAAGGCCTCATTCAAAAATGGAACCACTGGAATCCTATGGGTTCTGCCACTTAAATGCTGATTATCCTAACAGGATAGTGACTTCATTAGATGAGTACTATAAAATGTATCTTTCAAAGAACAATTTCCCAGGAAATGAGGATCCTAAATATTTCAGATAGGTTTTTTTCTTGTGGAGACTGCAGTATCTGTATCTAAAGGTTAAAATTGTCACTGCCTTGCATGTAATATTATATGTTAGTTGTTATGGTCACTAGTTTTTCCAATGATGCAGTTTGAAGTCCAGCTTTGTATATACATAACCATGAATGGTTGTTTTTATTTTTTTACTTTCTGAAATGATCCAAGTTCTTAGTATTTGTTTGTCTGACCCCTATGTTTTGTTTGTTTTCCTCTGTTGTTATACTCAGACATGGAAATGTAGCCCTATTAAGAGGTATAAGGCAATTTGTGTATTATCTGAATATTTCTAGTCAATTTGGTAACAGTCAATTTTGTAATAAAATAAAGGTTTCTATTGTTTTTCTATAATTAGTCTTCCATAGCTTATTATAAAGTTGTTGTGGCTTTACAAAAACCTTGCCTTCCACGGCAATTTCTTGCAAAAAAGCTGCCGTGGTACTTTCATCCCTCTGCTTGACATCCTCAATGGGCTTGAGCTGGAAATTCTACCAAGTTCTACTTTAATTCCGCAGTGAAAATCTCCTGCTTTATGATACCCAGAGCTGCTGGGTTGTGTGGATTGTGACAGTCAGCTGGGACACAGTCTGGAAAGCCCAGGTCCTGGTGGGAGGGTCTGGTGGGCACTGCCTGGCACCACCCAGCCCCAGTGGGGTGGGTCCTGGGTTAAATATGAGCAGTTAAGCCCTGCAGGGCAGAGCCTTGGTGCCAAACCCCTTTTGTGCCTTTAATTCTGCTATTCCTTCAATCCAGGCCAACCCCCATATTCAGGAATGAGTTAAGCCCAAGCTTTCAGCCCCTTTTCCTCTGTATAATCCTGTGAGACCCCAATGAATGATCTATCAGGAGTTTCTGTATCTGAGTACATTTCTCCCTGGTGTGCACAGAACTGAGGTCTCCAGGGACGGCATTGTTACATTTCTCTGTCACTATGACAAGATAAAATCCATAAAAAGTTTCGAGGAAGGATGAAAATAGTTTGAACCTCTGCAAAATCAAAAGAAATATATATATTAAGAAATGCCATCCAGCAGCACTGTGACTGACAGGCTGATGGTCACATAAAGGAAAATTTGACAGTCAAAACCTGCTCTGTCTTTACCAAGGGAAAGCAGCCTCAGGTTGAGTGACTGGTGGTGTAAGAAAAATCCTACAGCACTGTGAGGATGGTGCTTTTCCAAAAATTATGTTGCCATGTGCCCCTTAGAGTGACTGGAGTTTGTGCTGCTGACACTGATCTGGGAGTTGGGAGCACTGGGTCCCTGAGCCTGGGAAAGGTGGGCTGGGAGAACAATCCCCTGGGAGCTTTGGCAGCTCCTGTGAAGCTGTGTGGGGGGATCTACCCAAGCTGCTGTGACAATAACCCACACCAAGTCTCCTCTTATAACAGCATAAACTAATATTACTCCATTAGAGCCAGCGGAGTTGTGCCAATATGAAACAAGTTTGTTCAATTCCAGGCACTTCACATTGCTCACAAATGTCCTGATGATTTAACTCCTAAAGACAAGCAGAGGGAAGAGGTGTTATCTCGTTGAACTGACCTTGACAGCCCAGTTATCAGCTGTTTCGAAATCCTTTATTGCTCCTGTGTAGTAAATCCCAGGTTCATACTTACTGGACTGCTCATTATTCCTGCTACTTAAATTTAGGGGACTCAAAGATCTGTACAGGTGTTGCTGTGAGGAAGGTTTTGACTAATTCTGTACTAGCTGTGGTACCAATGAGTGCTGCCTGCTGGATTTCTGAAAGTACAATAACCACTGACCTGGAAAATTGTGTTTCCGGAAGCTTTGTAGATTTTCAAGTTCCCGAAGTTTGCAAAGAACTTCATTAATCTGCTACCTCAAAGTAAATGTCCAAAGCAATTTACCTAGGAAATAGGTAATTATCAAACTACACAGATAATGAATGACCAAGCCAGACTCCCACATCAAGAAACCCACATGGCTTCCTTTCCCCTCATTCTTCAGCTGTAGAAACCCAGTGTGATGCCTCTGAGATTAATAAATGTCTATGAAACCCTTCACCTGTGGTCAGCTGGATAAATTCAGTGCAGTTCTTTGCTGCTTTGAAATGAGTTGCTCATTCATAATTTTCATTTCAGCACTGCTTCCCTGTTATCATTTCCTATGGTTACTCCTCAGAGGAAGGGAGTTGGATCATAAAATAATTGGAATTAATTGGCCTCCACATTAACTTTCTCAGCAAGGAAGTGAAGGAGGTTTACCCATCCAGAAGGAAGTTAATTTGGGCATGTTGGTGGGAATGCTATAGACAAAGCTGAAGCCAACTAATCCATGTTTTCTATGGATAAAGAATGCAAGTTTTCTGGACTGACAACCTGGCATTTTTGATCTGTGTTTTATTCATTATAATCTGGCTGTTCCATGGCTCTGAGTCAGTCTCTGTGTACACCTTTCACTGCTCTGATTACCTGACAGATAATGTGTCCTGGTTTGTCTCCTTCCATGCTGAGAAGGACCTTTGTGCTCAACAACTAGAGATAGAATTCTCATCTGTGTCAGTGCCGACTTTGATTAATGGGGCAAAATTACCCAAAACCTGAAAAATGAATTCTGCCAACTGTTCACAGCTAAAGTTCATTTCAGGACAAATTTTTGGAGAACAACTCAACACATTCTTAATTTTAAATACATGAACCATCATTCTGATCTTAGTGGGACTGCAGGAGTATGCGTGGGGTTTTTTAATGCATTCTCACTTTTTGTAAAAGGAGAAAGTTTAACAATTTCCAGCAGCTTGTGGCACACATATTCAAAACTCGTGGAAGAGTTGTACTTTTAGAAGAAAAGCTGCCTTTTTACTTCAGATAATTCAGACAAAGAGCCCATTGAGATTGAAGCTACAAGCAGCTCATTAATCTCTTACCCTGGCTTCATGTATTCTTCTGATAACTTGTGGATTGATATACTGAGGTGTGGGTTGCTGCATTCAAATTTTTTAAATGTAACCTTCCAGGCAAGGCTTGGAGAAAAGTATGAATATCATATTACGAAACTGAGCATTATTCTTATTGCTCAGTTTTATTCTTGGGCATTTTTGAGTGTCAGTTTTCAAGTGAGTGAAAAACAGAGTTGCTGAATTGTTTTGGCCTGGAAGGAGGACATGTCCTGACTGTCCAGGCTGCCATCCCTCCTCTCTTTCTACTGTAGCTCAGGGTTGCAACCCCACCGCTTTCAATCCCTTTCATATTCTGAGGTACAAGCCAGCAATCCATCTGCTGGAACTGAGAAATGTAAAGTCACATGAAACTGATGTCAGCCACTATGAAACCAGTGCAATTCTTTGGGCAGGGATGTGTAAGTGGTGAGGATGGAGGCCACACTTGGGAGTTGGTTCAATGTTACAGTGCGCTTTTCCCAAAACATCCATGCTCTTTATGTGAATATTTCTGCATTACTGCTCACTTCTTTCTTGTCTGTTCACCCTGAACTGTGTTAGTGCCTCATACAATTCCTATCTGGACTTTATCTTCTATATTCCTATCCTCTTCTTTACCAGCAGAGGAAGAACTACATTTATGTTCAGCTCTTGTCCATGGTTTTTGTCTCAGCTGCGTGATCACTAACCTGTGGCTTTGGAACAACTTAACAAGTTAAACTTCAGCTACAGGATTTGGATCCAGAAGGAGTTTTAGACAACTTTATATTGTAGGGTTTAGATGGAGCAATCCTCCTCCTGACAGGGAAAGCAACAACGAGACCTCTTTCTAAACCAAAGTATTTTTCTCCAAGGGACAATGTCAAAACAAGTGGGGAATGGAATGTATTTATAATCGGGGTAAATTTTGCTGTGCTTTCTTGGGCACGTCCCTCTCAACAAGTTTGAACTCTTTGCCTCTAATTGTTCCATGTGTTGAGTGAACTGCAGCCTCCACACATCAGGGGAGAAGGGAAGGAAGCAGAGTCAGCTGCTGACAGGGAGAACAGGGCAATAAAGGGGAACCAGGAGTACCTGAGTTACCCCTTGGTCTCCCCAAATTGGTCCCCAGCTGCATGTTTGTGATACTTTGCCCTCCACTATCAAATTAGGTGCCCTGAAACCTGATAGTGAATCAAGCAAGTCACATCTGATTCATTCTGCTGCTGAACTGTGTTTCACAGGAAAACAGGAGACAGGAGAGAAGCAGGGGAATGGTGCAGGTCTGGTTTGCCTTGGACTAAAGGGTTCCCTCACTGTGGGATGGATTTCTAGAAGCACAGAGTGGCTCAAGGTGAAGAAAGGAAAAATGTTCCCTAAATTTAATGGAAATAATGGAAGGAAGTCTTCGAGAAACCTCAGGCAGTGTGAGTTGCACTTATCTTGGCTTCCAAGTTCCTACAAAAAAAGCCCTTACTGTTATCTCAGTTCTACCGACGGGAATCACAGATAGTTTTGCAGATGAGGTCAATGCCTGAATCAGGCTCTGTCCCACTTCTTTCCAGGGCAAAGGTCCCCACATATCTGATCAGGAGTCAGCCAAGAGTCAACTCAACCCATGGGCAAAGGCCACCCTAGAACTGGGATCTGCTTTGGTGGCTTTGCAGGACATTCAACCACAGGCTGCAAACACCAAACACACTCCTCACATTGAGGTTGATGGGATTAAACTGTCTGTCCTGCCATAAAGCACAGGAGAAGACCTGAGCTGGGATCCAAATTTCAGTCATTTTAAATGGGAGCAGGAGTAGAATAAGGGAGATTTTGGGAGTAAGATTCTGTGTAGGATGACAAGATAGTTGGACTCACACACACCTTCTGCTCTGTTCAGGAGGTGCCAAGTTTTGGTACTCTGGAACAATGCTGTCTTCTCTCTGGCTGTGTTTGAAAGTCAGAGCAATAGGAAAGAAAAGCTTTCAATTCATATTTCTCCTTGTGATACCAACACTCAGTATCTCATTTCAACACAAGTGAAAAGCTTCAAAGCACTTCACTCCACTAAAATAAAATTAACAACAGCAAAGAGAAGAAAATAGGAGATATCAGGAGATGTTTTACATGAAATCGCTGAACACAATGATATAAATTTCTCAAGTAACTGAACACCCTGAACACTCTTATTGGGATCTTCCACTGGAGCTTCAAGGAAAGACTGGACGTGGCACTCAGTGCTCTGGGCTGGGTGACAAGGTGGGGATTGGTCACAGGTTGGACTCGATGGTCTTGGGGGTCTTTTCCAACCTTCTGTGGTTCAAGACGTATAATGGGAAGTTGGCTCCATAAGATATCAGGTTTTTAGTTTTCCTAATGAAGTTTAACATTTCAAAGTTCACATCTAAGTGCTTGCTCTCTAAAAGGCTGATAAGAAGTGCAGACTTCACATTTGCAGTGAAGTGAAATATCACT